CCAAATTTTCTATTCTCGCTTGTTAGTAATCATCATGCTCACTTACCCTTTGTGCCAGCTCCCAGCCCAGTAGCTCAAACTCTGTAACAAATCGATAAAAATCGATAAAATCGATATCGATCGACCACGGAAAGTAGCCTACGACACCCTCCCTGCCTCGAAGTGTATGTGTGCCAAGTTTAGTCCGGATCGGTTCAGAAACGGAATCCTCTATTCGGAACGTACGTACACACATACAGACATACAGACAGACATACAAACAGAAAACAGACATTCAGCTTTAGACAGGATGTCCCAAAAAAATGTGCCCACTGTTTGATTGTCAATAACTCTTTTATCGAGAAGTTTTAGGTACCATTTTGTAGAGCAGGCTTTATCTTACGAAATAGGCTTTATCTTTAAGGCACTTAACTTAGGTCGGTCTTTCGGAAAACGACGCATATATCCGAAAACAGCTTGAGATGATTTCAAATATGCTGTCCTTAGCTGCGAAACATCACTTTGAAGCCAGTTATGAACTTTAAGTGCGTGTCATTGACATATAACTGGATATGAAAATTCAAAATAACGTCAAATTTAATCATTTGGGGTAAAGAGGGTTTATTATGCTTATAAACCACTGCCTAAATGATGATACGTAACATCCGCGACTCTGTCAACTTGCAAACTTTGCTCAGGAATGCAGCCATAACTCGCTCCAGAGTAATGCTTCGCAGCTATGGACAGCAGATTTGAAATCAGCGCTTTGAGCTGATTTCGACGATATGTGCCGCTATTCAAAAGGCTGACCTAAGTTTTAAGTGACTTTCCCTGTTAGATTCACAGCATGAAGCGAATCGTCCATCGCTTTTCATTACTGTAGGATCATGGTAAGAACTTCCGGCTTATGGCATCGCTGTGAAAAAAAACAGCCGTTTCAGACATCAAAAAAGATCCAAAAACTTGATCTGGTTTACATGGACGCTGAGTTTTTGATAGTCAACTTTCTGTGCAACCGCAATTTTTAGGAGCAATGAAATGACGGCTGCACTGCTAACCTGGCATAACTTTTTAAGGAAGCATCATGATAAAATGCAAACTTTGTAATTGGATTTAACAACTCCAATTAGCTTATTGAAAGTGTGACAGTTTTTAGTCGTTTTGTTTTTTCTGGAATCAGATATGTGGCCTTCTCTGGTTTAAAACCCTCGTCAAGGTTCCTACCGTAATTTTACAGTAATGAAGAGCGATCGATGATTCGCTCCACAATAAATTTAAATTGAAGCCAGCTCTACGAACTGGTGCCTAAGGCTGCGTTCATACTGATCCCGAAGTTCGGGAACAGTTCCAGCACAGCGCCCAGTCCGAGCGTTGTGCTGGAACTGTTCCCGAATTTTCAGCTCAGTATGAACGCAGCCTAAAGCTTCTCGAAAGGCTTCAGGACAGGTGAACTACTAACAATCAAACAGTAGGCGCATTTTTTGGGACACCCTCTTTATGACTTATAATCTTCTGATACTTGACTGCAAACACAATGTTCAGAATGGATACTGTTCGCATTTTTCACGGAAATCACAGATTATAATAAAAGAGAAATATGCAAGACTCAAGTAGTCCTCTACTAGTGCTTCTAGCTTTGATTTTGAAATCTTTTTTCGATAGAAAGCCGTCAATGTGACAAAAATGGTTTCTTCTTTAGAAAGATCAAAATCGTGTATTAGGAAAGATTCATCATTTTCCGAAATTGCTTTAAGAAACTATTTTGAATCTTCATAACAAACACAAATTCTTATAAGAACTTGAGCTTTGTCTTTCAAGAATTTGATCAGTGTATGAGGAGCTTATGCGTGAAAGATGCGAAACCGCCCATGTTCAGTCGTTTCTGGATCTTGGGGCGTAAACCACTGCGCGAGAACTTGCGTTCGATCAGTCCCCATGCAAACCAGTATATGACGTGAGGCCATCACAATGCATTTGGAAAACTGGAGCATTATGCATTCGTCTTGTGACTCTGCGGCTCTCGCAATGGCTTTTTTTCAGAAGTGTCAAGGGAGTTGGGAGCTTACTTTTTGTTCATCTTCAGCATCCAGGCTTCGTAAAAAAGTCACTTATGTCATTTTTGCTTTTCCGAAAAGCCTATTTGCGAAATACATAATTTTCCTCATTTGCGTCAACTAGAGAAGATCTTTTTAGCTGCTCTCTGACCCTCTCGCACATGATGGTTATGTTCTACGGTACCAGAAGTGGGGCGACATCGACTGCACCATCAATATGAGTCGTTTGTATACAAGAAAACGGCTCTGCACGATGGACAATAAAATCGTCTGATCCTTGTATTATAGTTTACAGTCATCAATCAAATGTCAATAAGTTTTTCTATTCAAAATCTTCTTGTGCTCAGTTAGCGGAACACAGCCACTACATAAGAAAAGGAAGTGGAGCTGCACAGCAATACCAAACAGCTTGCTGTTTCGAAAAAGGAATGTTCACAGATTTAAGGCTAATATGTCGCTTATCTAAGTCTTCAAATGCAAATTCCTTGGTTTTCTACACGATCAATGACTCAAACGACCAAAGACCGACGATCGTTTCAGTGATCCTTGTCCTTCTCCAAACCTTCCATAATGTTTAGTAGAAAATCATTTTGCATATGGGAGCAAAGAACTCACCCATTAGCAGTCAATGCATTTTTGAAACGATGACTTATTAAAAAGTTAGACCTGGATTGCAGTGGAGGACGGCTTTATACCACAAACGCCTCGCCGCCAAAGTTCGCCCCTCGCCAGCTTCGTCGCGTCGCACATCGCACCGTGGTGACATGAAAACACTCAGAAAAGATTGCTATTTCAGATTTTAGCGGCGAATTGTCCGTTACAGCGCGATAAGGTGCAAAATTGAAGAAAAACTTGTTAAATTCTTCTTTTTTCTCAATTTATCATGCTCGTTTTATTTTTAAGCAAAAGTAAAACATTCGCTTGACTCCGCAATTACTTCCTTCAATTTTTTTCTGATTGACGTTTGATTTTGCCATGATATAGTCACTTAATTGCCATTGCAAGCTGTGACCTTTGGCCTAGATTGCAAGTTGAGATTAGCAACATTTGGCGATGATTACCTGCAAACTTAACTTATAAAATGAAGCCCTCTGACCCCGAAACGTAGTAAACCAGGATCAATTTGATTACTAAACAATACGTGTTTTCAAATAACGCCTTACTTTCCCTATTTCTCTTTTATCCTAACGCCAACACTCATAAGTTAAGATCTAAAAAACTACATTCCTTTGATTTTATTTGAGAAACTAACATGACAAATTAGAAAAAAGTCAACAAGTTTTTCAAATTTTACACTTTATCGCGGCGAGATAGACGATACCGCACGGTGAAATCTGAAAAAGCATTTTTTTGTATTCACGTAACTTTTTATAAAATTCGCGACACCACGGTGCGACGTCGCGACGCGACGAAGCTGGCGAAGTAGCGGCGGTTCCTCATGCCTCATGCTCGCTGCTGCAAAATGGGTGCAAAATACCGCAAGCCAGCCGACGCGCATGACTATGACGGCGAGCTTATAACATCACGCCGCCATTGCAGTAGCAGGTTGTCCCAAAAGCCTGGTCTGAAATTTCTTGGAAAATCGCTAAAAAATTCACAAAACTTCGCTAAAGAGGATATTATAATTTTTTGTATTATATGAATAATAGAGTTTTGTCATATCATGTCCGCGCGAGGGGAAGCACAGTGAAAAAGTATCGCTTGAGAGCTATATTGGAGTCAAACGGACTCTACATCATTGCAGTCAGGCCACAGCTGTGTATTTTTTGCAACAAGAGTTTTTAATACGAAATGTCATCTTTTCAGGCACTTTTGATGCAAAACAGAAACTACCTAAGTTGCTCAGCTTCTCTCGGTTCTCTTTCTCATTTATATGTGCCAGCTCCTTGCTCCTATTTGTTCCTCTAATAAGTATGTTTGCTTACCTCTTGTAATAACTTTTTGCCCTGTAACCCCAAAAATTCACCGAAAAAGCAGGTAAAATTATTTAGATAATGAAAGATACACATCACAAAATTCCAAAATTAATCATTTTGTCACCTTCTGAAACTATGACTTTTTACAGAAACTTTCAATTAGCACAAGCTTTTTCAAATTAGGCAGAGCAGGTCATGCACTTGTGTACTAAAGATTTTGGATTTTCCTGCACTGCTCCAAAATTTTTGACGACTTACGTTATATCACTGGTCTGCAATCAGTGTTTGATAGATTTTACCCGCAAGAAAGCTGCTGCGAAACGAGACCTCTTTCTTGATGAATTCAATAAAGAGAATCAAGCAGCAAGAAGTTGCAAATTCCAAGAACGACAGAACTTTCGAGGTGACTCAAAATTATCCCATCACCTTTTTGTCTTTTCTTTGGATAGCTAAAAATTGATTAACTGGAATGATGGGGGCATGTATGACGAACATCTTGTCTATACATTGACGACCGTTTGGCACGAACTCGAATGGTCTTCTTTTTGGTGTGTCAACTTGAATTATGTTAAGATGACTCTGTCGCGGGGATAAAATAACCCCAGAAGTTTTTCTTAGCATTGGATCTTGAAGAATTTTCATTTTCTTGTCAGCGTTTCAAAGTGCTGTATGTATACGATAGTAAGCAATAAGCCTGATTATATCCAAAAATGTTGGCTGATTCATAAACGGCTTTGGTTCAAATCGCAGACAGCTAAAGATCTGCATTTTTGTCAATGTGTTATGTCAAATGTCTTCTCATCAATTTCTCCACATTTTGAAGATTCGTGCAGAAAAATGGAGACACACATAGGTATGCAAAGAGGTTCGACTATGACTTCCGTGCATGTCAAAACCCTTTGCGTTGCCTCAAAAAAGAAACTCTCGAAACGCGCTGAACTCTCGAGGTGCGACGGTTTGACCTCTGGACGTAGTGTTCCTGAGCTGTTTTTCGTATGACAGACACAATCACACAAGTGCGTCTAATCTGAACTTTTATTTCAGACCTGACTTTTTGACTCCTTCGCTTATCGAGATTAACCGCTTTGCTGACTTCACAAACCAACCTGAAAGAGCGTGAGAACAGCAGGCGGCTTTTGTTGGAGCCATAAAACTCAAAACGAATGGAACAGTCACCGCCTGGGCTAAAACATCATTGCCGTAGAGAGCTGAACGAGACGGTGTCTACAGGGATCCTGACTGTGGCGGCATGCGCACTCTGCCGTTGAGGAAAGAAAATTACAAGTGGGCAAACTTTTCTAACAGAGCCTAGGTTCTCCAACTTCCCACTTTATTGTTTGATTTTGTGAGACATTATGGCTTCTTTTAGCGCAGCGGCGTGTCCGACGTCCACTTCCACATGGCGCTAAAATTGCAGAGCTCCTAACTTACCTAGAGCTATCTTTGAAGATAGTTCATCCGCATTCCATGCTTTCCACATTTTTACTAGCTTCCAAGGTTCAAGAAGTAAAGAATTTGTGTTGACTTGTCGACTTTCCCAGTGTCGGCCTTCAATAAATAAATCGACCTGCAGTTTGGAGAATGCTAATGCGTTCCTTTCTATTTATATTTACTCTGTATGCCCCCTTGACCGATCTAGAGCAGGCGAACACAGTCAAGGCAAATGCGTGGTAACTGTGTCATTGTCGCATCTCCGGTTCTGTGGTCCAAACAAGAGCATTGGTTTATGTTAACCAGAGTAGGGTTCCAGAATGAGATATTTCTGAGGTTTCTTAACAACTTCCAAGTTCCGTTTTCGTAAAACCTGGGCATGTTCGTATATTGTAGCTACTTCTGTGCCATACAGGTTTTCAGGCATTCGCATGAAGGAACACTTAGCAGATAAAAGGCGCCAAAGCTTGGTTTCACCGCTAGGAAAGCACAGAAGCGAGGTGCATAAAGGGGACAATTTTGACATCAAATGTAAAATACTTTCTTACGAAAGGGAGATCTCGGCTAGGAAAGCGTTGAAAGCGTTCTGGATATCCGCAAAGAATCAGAATCCAGAAATGAAAAACAAAAACGAGTGCCTGTCAATCACTGCTGATTTCCTTCCTTTCATATCGCTATGCCAGCTATAGATCACATTGCATATGTATCTATAGGATGACTCATTCGTCCGCCGCGACCACTCACTTCCGGTGCGGACTTCCACGTATAGCGGTGGTCTTCCGGTACGTCATCTTCGCTCTGCACAATTTTTGCTAGCGAAACTGAGGGAAAGCCGAAAACTAGCTCGTTTGGAGGCGATGTTTGGTGGTGTTGAGTTACGGGTGACACTTTGAACCATTTTCGACCTCTGAGGAAGACGAAGGCGTCGAAACGTTGGGCCGTGGTATTGGAATAAAAATATCAAACCTGTATGGCACAGAAGTAGCTACAATATTTCTGAGGTTTTTTCCACCTTATATCGAAATCAGGATCTTGGATTCTCGGTTATTCAAGTTCATTGCTTCCTTTCCAGAAAAAGATTATGAAAACCGGAGGGTTGGGGCAACATAGTAATGTGGAGAGCATGTCAACGAGAATTACCGGATATCAAAAATGACATGCATTGTTTGCAGGAATTTTGTCTCTAATTGCAAAAATTTCGCCATCGTCAAAATCTTTTTGGTTTCGACATCTCAAAAAACGTTTCAGCGCTTATCTAAAAGCGAAGTTTTTCGATTACATGAACAGTCGACATAGCTGATAAAAGATTTTGTAGTTTGTCACAATTGTGTTCAGGAATTATAACTTCTTAGTTATCTCGTTGTTCGTTTCATGAAAAAAGTCGGTTTTCTGACTTTAGCTATTGATGTCAGCGAAAAAGTTTACGGTTACTGTATCAGATTGTTTATTTCGTAACGTTCGTAGGAATCAAAAAAGCCGTTTTTGTCAGATATATGTGGTGATATATTTTTCTCTGTGGCGCACGAACTCTTGCCATCTTTTCATCCAACTGATAATCACCCCATTTTTTGATCATAATAAGCCCACGTCTCAAAATTTATGCCGCCTGAAATTTTTTTAAAAATCAAAGCAAGCATAGCTTATGTGATTTGAGAGGATGGAGCACATAATAAATTGCTGGAGCGAACTTGAGGAGCAATGTACCTCCCAAAAGTTCTGCAGGATTTGCTGCGGTCAGGGTTTGTCTCGTAAAGAGTTCCACTTGTCTATTGAGCTATATCTGCAATATGTCCCGTTTAAATGGTGCAGCTTGATCGCGTACAGACCATGGTTGCCTCTCTGTGCTCTTACTCAGCTATTTCAGGATGCCCTGCCAATCTCACAAAGAATTAAAAGTACTTGTTTAAGGCACAAGCTGACTAATCCTGGGTCTCATGGTGCAAGCCAATCTTACATTGCCTCATAGTGACATGCAAACATCTTTTCCATAAGCAACAAATCTGTGCAATAGACGCTTCTTTCTGTAAGTAGAAGTGAAAAGGTGCCAAAAATCTTTTGAGAATTTCATTTTTAGAAAGATAGAAGTTAAAGTAGACTAGCTTTTTATCAGAAATAATAAAAACAAATCAAAGGGCATGATCTTTTAATGATATACTCAGCCGAAGATAGAGTTCTTGAAATAAGTGAATTAAAACGAAAACACTACGAAATGGTGAATAACTTGACGCTGCGAAATTATGAAAAAAAACCTGATTATTTGGAAGCATATTAAATCAGATTTAGATTTATCGGACTTTGGTAACTTTGCGGCAAGATTTAGCACATTTCTAGTTATCAGTTGGTTGAGTAAGAATACTTTGTAATAGCAATTTGCATCTAATATGCGCAAAATTTTGGCAGGCGTTGTCAGGAAAGCTTTTTTTCAAACCTTGAGCTGCGCCGCGAGGAATTAATGGAGGGTGCATGCTAGATTCTCGAATACCACCAACTAGTGGGTCTTATCGATAACCAAAAAGTTTTCACTCATCTCAGTTCTTACAAGGGAATGGTCAGAAGTCGAAGTGGCCAACTCATACAAGCTGCATACCATTCGATGCAGCAAAAAAAGCTTATTTCAAATTTGTCTTCCATATCTGCAGAGCGCCTTTGTAAGCGAAGTTTAGCAGCTTTGCTGCAAAAAACCGTATACAAAAATTTTGAAATTAGGCACATTATTGTTCTTTCGTTCACGCCTAGGTGCGGGTCATTTAAAGTGAACTAGTTGCAAGTTTTGGTACAGCATAGCCAAGAATGGCTTTGCACGGCCAAGTCTGCACTTTACACGCACAATTTCTCAGCAAAATAATGACCTTTAACCGCTTATAATTTCATCCACAAAAGCTCTGCAGATAAGGAAGACAAATTTAGAGTCAGCGTTTTATGCTGCATCCAATGGAATGCAGCTTTGTATGGCGACGTGATGGTATTTTATATCAATGAAAGCGATAGATTCAGGGGACCTGCAATGCTCATAAACAGTGCATCAACCCCAGAATTTTTTTTCTGGCAGATGACCACAAATTTTCTGAAAAAAGGGCGCTTGAGGATTTTGAGAAGTTAACCACATTGAGAATGCGTTTCAAATCAGTGACTTACAGCGAAATTGAAAGTGTATGATTATAATTTTTCTACAGTGGAACTTTTACTACTTCTCATTAAAAGTGCTCCATCTTAAAAAAATCATAATATATTCTTCATTTTGATTTTTCCCGGAAGAATGCAAAATGTGCTTAGCAATTAACCCCTTGCCATCTATCAGACAACGGACAGAGATATGGAAATGGGAAATTTCGCAAGTTTTGGGCCAGCATTTTAATTTTGTTTCGTAAACTCTTGTTCGAGTGGCGTGCAGCTTGACATTTTGCCTAGGTTATAGAAGCCTATCTAAAGCCTAAAAGTAACCCAACAATTTAACGACTTTAAAACTACAAGTGGGCGAAGCTTGGCTGCAGGCATTCGCTACCTATCAGTGCTTTTTAAGAGCTTAGCGTACTTAGAAAGCGCTCAAGGTGCAAAAAGAATTTGTTTAGCTCCGCTGTCATTACTTTTGAGAAGCCTTTATCATAACTTCCCATAATCCATTCTATATCAGAGTTATCTCATTATTCGAACATTTCAAATCAGCCACTCCCACTCACTGACTTTGAATTTGCAAATAACACTACAATGTATCAGTAACGTGACTTCCATTCCTGATCGTACTGTAAGCCTATTTCTGAGTACAGAATTCAGCTTCAAATCATATTTCGTTGTCTAAACGTCTTCGAAGCTATTTGTTTTGAGCTCCAGTGTGGCTAGAAATTTTTCTTGCTCCGCATTTGTACTATAGAGATGCTGAAGTTAAGACAGCTTAAAAACATTCTGGTATGTGCATGCAATTCTCGTCCTTCTCGTTTTTTAGCCACGAAAGCACAGCAATTGTACGTGCACATAATAATTATGCATGCCAGCCTAATGGGAATAATTCAATGAAGCTTCGTTATCAGTTACGCCCTTGCTTCAAAAGACATTTTCGTTAGTAAGAGAATGAATTCAGTTGGGGAGCGTGCAGGATCTCCGAAGCTCCCTGCTTTATCTTTAGGCGCGCCCACAAGGGGCAATAATCACTTTGCAATTACTCTGTATTTATGTTGCGTATATCTCGCACATTTCTGCATTACTTCCCCTCCGGGCAATCGCCTTGTTTCTCCCGGCAAAAATTGAAATGTCAGCACAATGCAATTGATAATTGATGAACAAAAAAATGGGAGGTCTGCGAATATGCATCATGACTCAAAATAAGGAGCTTAATCTAGAGTGTAAAGTTTGCTCATGACGAAATTACGGTGAGGAATGATTCGCAATAATTTGAGGACGTGATATTCGGTGACGAGGGTAGTTCATTTCGACTAGGTGTCACTCGCTTCAGAGACTTTGGAATAATGTAAAAAGAAGATGTAAATCTTTATTACATTGGTTTTGAGTTTGCTATTATTAGATAACGTACCCAATTAGAAGCGTCTTGCTTATAAGGATAATTTACGTGGAACTAAAACGAAAATGAACGAAGAAGCGCAAGACTCTAGAGGGTTATGCTACGTTGCCATTCAAATATTAGACGTGCAAACCGTCCTGGGTCAGCTTAGACGGAGAAAATGCTTTTCAATTTACATTCTGTTCCCAGCCTGCGATGAAAGAACTTCTTGAGCTCACCTTATCGCATACTTCTGGATAAGTACACAATAGATATATATTTTGATATCTAGAAAGCGTTCAATGAAGTTCCTGCTCTTTGCAATACTTCCATTGGCAGAAGCCTGGCTGTACTCAAACAGCAGTATGCGAGTCTTCAGGTTTGTCGTAGAATAACAAAACTTGTTTGCTAATGGTGAAATTGTAGAAGCACGGATCAATCTACTGGTCGCCTTCATCGCAACCTTTCTAATACAGGTAAGCAGTACCTTTTCGATACATTCTAAAGTATGCTGCTTGGATTTCAAAAATCTGCGTCGAAAAGTGTCGATGGAATGCTGAGACTGCAAGCTGCCAATCTCCAGGAGACTATTACGATGCTTTCACGCTTTTCAAATATTTTCAGTGATAGTCTCTCGACAAGTACCAAACGACTTTTTGTGTTGAAAGCTAAACACACACGATAGACCAGAGACAGCAAGGAGCAAGCGAGTTACTAACGAGCATCGTTCCCGAGCAGTTCTTGATAGGTTGCGGTTTCTTACCCACTTGTAAACTTAACCCAAAAAAATAAACAACATATTACCACTACCAGGCACTATATGCGGGAGTATGTGGGACGAAAAAAACTATGAAACGCTTTTCAAACTTTTTAAAAACATGCACAGAGTTCAAAATGCTCATGCTGTCAGGGCAAACATGTGATTACTTACTCAAACTACCCTTAAAGGCAGCGTCCAGGCAAATCGGCTTATGTGAGATGTTCATACAGGTCCCGCCTCAACTAGTGCAAATCAGAACCGCTTGAAATTGCGACTTCCAAAGCCTCAAAGCTTTTTTGAAGACTGCTCTCCTAACTCCTTCGGGCCTCAAAAACCCCTCGTTTTGGAGACAGTAATTTGAAAAAAGGGCCCCAAAGCGTGTGCTTCGGCGCTTATCTGGTGTGGTACTACGTGGAACATTTGCCAAAGACGGACAAATGGCTTGCAGTTGCCACTTGAAAGTGGCTGCCGCAATATGTGAGATCATCCGCGAGGATGTAAGAGGAACAGAAAGGAGTTAGAAGAGCCGGCTTAAAAGTTTTAAGACTTTAAAAGTCGCATTCTTCAAGCGGATTTGATGTTTGCATTAGTTGAGGACCTTTTCAACTGATTGAACATCTCACATAAACCGGTTTGCCTAAATGCTGCCTTTGCCGTTTTTCATACTCAGGAATTGGGTCACAATTTGCTCAAAATTTCTAAACTTTTTATATTGCTAAATAAGTGTGGAGTAAGTGTTAAAATTATTGTCAAATGATGTATAGGATTTGGAGTGGGAGAAAATTTTTTAGCAAGTAAGATCCATTTATCGTTCTAATCCTGGGCTACAATTAACGCTTTCGTTTTCTGCAAACAGAAGAGGATTTGCAATTTGCGAAAGGAGGTCAACCTTGAAGAAGGATATTTCTGGGCACCTAGACTTTGTAATTTTGCGCCTAATTTTGCAATACTGAAGTGTCGCTAACAAGCCCCAAGTCTCAGAATTCTTTTTACGTAGCATTAGGCCATTGCAATGACTTGAAGTTCGCATGATTATTCATAAGCCAAGAAATTATGCCACTGCATGACAAAGGCACAGAAGCAGTATTAGTTGAGCGGACGCGAACGCGGCGCGCGCTCAACTAATACTACTATCCATACCTTCGATAGTCTAGAGACAGGGCGTCAAAAGTGGAGGTTGTTTGAACATCTGACGTCATAAATAGTGAAGGTTGTTTGAAGAAGATTAGAGAAGAGAAAATGACGTAAAACAGATATAAAAAGCAAAAGAAGCTGCTGAAATTGGATAAAAACGCCGCAATGAGGTTTAAAATCTTTTATTTGGCGGCTTTTCAAAATGCAAGTTTTCGCTCCAGGACCAGCAAGGCGCAACACGGGGCTTTGATTTTTGATGCGTCCTTTGAAATTTTACCCCCGCATTGATATTCCTGTTTCCTGGGACGTTGTCTGGATTGTTGCGCTTATTGTTCTGAGCAATAATCATCCAAGCTGGAAAAAAAATCGATGCGAAAGCACTGAAACAGAACAAGGTAAAGAAAAACGCACTTTTTACGATTTTTCGCAAAAAATTCCACAATAATCAAAGAGATAAAGGTTGGGTGGTTGTCTGTATTATGAACAGAAGCAAGATCTATAGAATGCACGAAAAAACCGCGTGAAAATAGTTAAACTAGGAGAAAAACAAGAGATTTTCGAAAACAAGGTTTTTGCCGGATTTCTCGATCAAATCAAAAAATGTGGTTTTGGGACGTTGTCAGCGTGAAAATAGAGATCAAGAGCTTCAATTTGATATATAACTTGCTAAAATTGGGTTCGAAACAGCGAAGAAAAGGGTACCAGAGCCAAATGCCCCGCGCCCCGCGTTTGGGGTAGCGAGGTAGCGTGCAGCGCGCGGAGACGCAGACGAGCAGCGGAGACAGACAAGAGCCGACGGGGCATTTGGCTCTGGTCGTAGATCTCCGCGGGGTCTCAATGAAACCTTGTAACATTATATATCATTCTGATCGTCATGACACGATGAGGAGAACTGACAACGTCCCAAGCTTTGAAAATCACCCGTTGAGGAGCAAACCAGCGTTTTCGTGCGCGACTCTCTGCGCAAGGTTTAAGCGCAGTTTCTCGTTCTTATTTAAATCCAATAGCTTTCCCAAACTTCTGAAACTCGATTTTGTTCAAATGAGAGGTTAGCTGAGAAATTTTGTCTTGAATTCTGGCGAAAATTCCACAGAAACCTTCTTTTTAACGCAAAAAGGGCTATAAAAACGCAATTTTCAGTTTCGCTCAGATAAGCTAAAGATATTATTCGCTATACTTGCTCCATTAACACTCGTTCCGATATAGTCAGGATAATTACATCCGACACTGACACGCCGACATTTCACTCCATAAAAGTCAGGCGAAGCTCCGGATGGCTTTTGTTTTTTTCAGGTGAAGGTTGTGTCCCCTCATAGCCCGCAAAGTGAAGGTTACCAGAGTACGTGGCTCTATGTATCGAAGGTATGCTACTATCCTCACCGCCGTAAATTTTGCGCCTCATACGCTCTGCGGCTGATAAAGCCGCGTTCGCGCCCAAAGATATTGCGCCTTCTTCATGTAACGGCGTATACATCTTTTGCATTAATTTGACGCTCAAAAAACTTATATCAACAGGGCCAGGCACGCGTTGGTTTGGAGCATTTTTGGAAACCAAGTCCCCTATGAATTTGCGAAATTTACGAAGTCCCTTTTGACGTGAAAGTCTGTAGAGAAACCCTTGTTATATCAACACGTAACAAAACATAACGACAAAAAAGCGAGTTTTGAGTCACCTAACACAAGAAGGAGCAAAAAAATATTCTGAGTCGATTCAGTTCTTGAGTATGGTACCATTTCAGTGTTCAGAACGTTGAAAACCTCTTAGGCCAGCCAAATCTATGACCTCAACAATCTGGCAATGCAATTTTCGCCACATAGTTTAAAGGGCGCCGCATGTGATTGGAGCGCGATATGCAACATTGCTTTAGTTTACACTATTTTTGGCTCAAAAAAGAGGAGAAACGGTGGTTTGATTCGCTCTTTTAGCTATATGATAGATTTTGGAGCGTTCTCTTCGTCCAAATCAAAAAGGTCCAATTATGTGAACTCTCCGATATTTACGCTCTGAACAACCGTTGGTTTGGTGTTGGTCTAGAAACCACCAAATTCGGGAACGGATATTAGGACGCATAAGTTTTTGAAACTTTTTACAAAATGTTGTTTGGAGTAATATTGTGTATATACATAGCCCAAATTTGGCGCGATGTGATTGTTTTTGCACTATAAGCAAGCCGTCTGTCTGTTTGGGTCTTTTTGCGTTTGAAATTTTTGAAATCACGTTTGAAATTCGCGCGCTTGCCAAAGAACACGTTCATCTCGTTAAAGCTCGACATGTTTGTAATTTTAATTCGGTGCTTCGCCCAGAACCTTACAAAAACGATATCCTCGTTGCTTTTAACCTAAAAACAAAGTCCAGTTTGGCAACAAACCATCTGTGCCGGGCTGTGTATATGAACTCTGTGTGTGCGTGTGTGTGCGTGTGTGTGTGTGTGTGCGTGTGTGCGTGTGTGTGTGTGTGTGTGTGTGTGTGTGTGTGTGTGTGTGTGTGTGTGTGTGTGTGTGTGTGTGTGTGTGTGTGTGTGTGTGTGTGTGTGTGTGTGTGTGTGTGTGTGTGTGTGTGTGTGTGTGTGTGTGTGTGTGTGTGTGTGTGTGTGTGTGTGTGTGTGTGTGTGTGTGTGTGTGTGTGCATGTGCGTATGTGCGTATGTGTGTATGTGTGTATGTGAACAGCACTAGGAACTACCAGCACGGCTTGACAGACTCATAAAAGAGAATAGCTTAGGATGCCATCATGACAATGAGACATCGGACGATATGGTAAGCCTTAGAAATCAAAAGATTTATTCACCATACTGTAAAAGCATATCTTTGACAGGATGAAGGGGTTTCCTGAGTTTAATTTACCACTCCTCCTTCCAGTCGCTAAAGTTCGCTGTATTTAAACAGTCTGGCACAAATGGATTTCTTGTTATTTTCTTCTCATTTCGTATGAAATTTATAGTAAATCCACATACATCTCGCTTTTCCAACAGAATAGTGTTTCAGACGTTCTTCATGACTTTTGCGAACTTGACATTCAACTCAGTGGTTGGCTGTAATGCTGATTACGAAGCAAAAGAAACATTTATCGTGTGTGCCCCAGAAAAGTTCCCTTGTGAACCAGCGTGCGTACGTGGTGCGACGCTGCCTTTCGCTCTTTTTGACACGTTTCTTTTGAGATTTTAACGGAACTTCCTGAGGTTAGCACGTTCACAAGAGCGAAAGACATCGAGATGACGTGGTGCGCATGGGAATCTTGCTGGGGAACAAACGATAATATTCGTTCAAAGTCTCGATTTCCAGTATAAATCGAGTTTTTGGAATCTATTCGAAACCCCGTTCAATAATACAAGTTTTAAAATTCATTCGGAAGCCGGTTTTTTGATTAACAAGTTTTCGAATTTTATTCAAAAATGGAAAGTAAATCAGCAACGCGTTTTGAGCTACCCTATCACGTTCATCATTGTAATCGTAAAGAGCATCTCTTTGATTGTGTGCTTGAAAATGCTGATAAATTGAATACTTCATTTACTGATCATCGAATGAAATTTGGCAATCATTTCGAGGCAAGCGATCTTTTTGATTCTAGATTGATTTGATTTAAATTCAAAGTTCGCAAGAGATTCGGTCTTGGAAAGATCGGGATCTCCTGCCGGTCCAGATTGGGCGCCTAGGATTAGGACGCCTAGGATTCCCTTCATAATAATTCTTCCTAGCTAAAAAGAACAAATTTGGAATCAACGATCCAAGTAATTTCAGATCTGTCTACCCTGGCTTACTGATTTGAGTGTATTCCCTTGTCAACTTGGGAAATTGATACAGCTTCGGGGCGCTCCTAAATAACATTTGGCCATGTGGCTGCTTTAATTCAACGATTGCGCATGACTAACTAAAATATGAACTTCTCGCACTACATTAACGAGGAAAGGATCTCAGGTTGCAGCGGCGAACCAGAATAAAGTGCATACTGTGAGAAGTGTCTTGTAGCTGAATCGAAATTTGTCTCACGAATCTGCTAATCTAACTCGAAATCTACGTTTCACATCTGCTGTACGGTTCTCTAGAAAAAGTTATAAGCGGTTAGGGTAAGAAGTTAGCGGGGGTTCTGACGATGTGCTTTTGAAACCAGCTAGAGAGTGCATACTTATTGTTAGCATGATATAAAGCACTAGAAGGAATGCACATCTGCACCGGCAACGTAGATAATTGTCTTTAAACAGGTCCTTTTAAAGTTACGATAATGCTTGACAAATGTAGTCGTTCACGCTAATAACTTCTTCTAGAGAAACCTCGCAGCAGATGTAAAAGGTAGATTTCGAATTAGCTTATTGAGGCGCATCTAACTATATACATTTTACTCCATTTTGCAACTGCAACTCGGGTTGCTTCCCCAGTAAGTATTCTCTTGTAGCAAGCTTTTCAGCACATTTTGGACCTTGCGAAAGTGGATGGACGTATTTCGATGAAACGAATGCCTGCTATAAGGTATGTCGCAATTTGATAAAAGAATTGCATACATCGTGCCTTTGAAACCATGTACCAGTACGAGCACGTCCAAATTTGGTTGGCTGACATCACAGACTAAAGTAGACGTCATATTGTTCAACACCCATATTGTAGTAATTACACTTTTTCTTAGTCACACATCATACAGCAACGTTCAGTAGAGGAAGCACAAGTTTATCTACTTGAGTTCACTAACGGTAAATCTACATGCTCACTAATCATGACGTAGTGATGCCGCAATGGAGAGTTCGAAGACATTCAACTGTTAGGCCTTACAATGGTGGGATACTTGGTCGAAGTGGCGTTTTCATACAGAATACATACCATCATAGGGAGCATGCAATGCTGACTTCAAAACTGCTTTCTATGTCTGCAAAACGCTTTTGAAAAGAGAGTTACGGAAATTTTTTAGTGCAAAAAACTTGAAAGCGCCGCTACAATAAAATTGTAGAGCTTTAGCCCGTGAGCCCATAGGAGCCCATATGGGGCCACGATTACTACCAGGGCGTTTCATGGAATGAAGACCTCCAATCTAATGAACTCTTGTCAGTCATTACTTCTTTCAAGAGCCGGAAAGACCTTAAAGGCAGTGTCCCGGCAGATTCGGGTCCTGAGGGATATACGTGTGGTGGGGTTCCTGGTCACCCCATCGACCTCCAGGCGCACTCAGGCTGGGTGTTGTTCCCCCTGGGCCGAGAAAATGGCCCTTGAACCGGCGCGCGCAACCCCAACTGGCGCGCGCTTGGACGGCCTTCCCCTCCTGTTCGGCGCGGGACCTCACGAGCGCTTTCCCCCATGATGCATGCTATCCAAAGCAAGAATTACAGGCGGCAGGATCTTCGTCTGAGGACCTCCCTCAACTTTCCATTAAAAATCTCGTCCAAGCTGCTTTTCTGGAATTAGGAAAACGCCCCAAAATCGGCCTTTTCAGCCCGTTCAAAGCTCAAATCGGATTCTACGTGGCGAAAAGGCCTAAAACATGCAAAAAGGTGGAGGTGCAAAATCTGCCGGGACACTGCCTTTAACCCCTACTTGATTTGAAATCAACTTTCCATGTTTTGTAAGATGGTATACATCTCATATGGAAACGCTAATTCGACCAAGTATCTTCCCCTTGTTAGACAACTTTACAAACGCTACCAATTTTATCTCTTTTTCCTTTGATTTAAAAAGCTATTAGTTTGCAGAGCTGAAGAGCTATTACTTCACACAGGGATTCACACAGCATAACGAATAAAAAAAATGAAAATTTATAACTACAAATGTTTTTGCCACTTTTAGCTTTATCCTTGAAAACGTTACACACTATATCAAGAAGGAGCCGCTATTGTGCACCTATTTCATTTCTGGGTTTTGTGAGTAATGAAGTGTATTCTCGAATGTAGAAACTCCGAACTAGTACGCAGAACTGATACTGTATGGTAAGCTCTACATGGTGTATGGACAAAAAGGGCAGAACGGAGTGCGCCAGCTAGTATCAAGACTTTATGCGTCATTTTGTTTTGTCGTCTAAACATTTCTTGAAACGAATTATGTGGATTGTTAGTCACAGGACATGGTAGTTCATAGAACTAAAGTAAACAAGCATGCTATCATCTACACCATATATTTGTTTAATCCGAAAAAAAAAACTTTGCATGCGTAACAAAGTCCCACCACACATTGGACCTTGCAGCATACAAACCAACTGTGTGATTGAGTAAACGAAATTACATACATCACATCCCCAAATATTTCAAATTCTAACGAGATAACACTCCTTCTTCCCACTATGGTCCGACACCTCAACGTGGCATGGCGTAGGGTCCCTGGATGTCGCCGCAATTTATAGCCGAGTATATACTCTTTTACGGATTCGAATTTGTAAAGGAGTCCGACATTTAAGACCAAATAGCCCGCCATCTGGCTTTTCTAATACCTTGGCTGTTCCCCTTCCACACCCGAGGTAAGCGATCGCATTGTTAAAATCAAGAGTAGGCCTATTAAGTTTGCTCTTGTAAAAAAAATCTCTCATAACTTTATCAGTGAAAGAAGGGAAGAACACATGGTAGCAAACAGATGTCAGGGTCTTTAAGGGTCCCGCGTTGGATAAAACGACACGTCTGAGAAGACCGTTAAAGACTGTCTCAAGTTCTGCACCTACAACTCAGGACGTCTCCACAAACCCGATCTCCATGCTCTTGTTGACGCTGCCACATCACGTCACGTATCTCTCTGCAGGAAACGAAGTCCACTGCTCAGTTAATTGCCGGGGGTAGCGGTCCACAAACTCGCGCCTTTTAGCAAGCGGTCAGCAGGATTTTGGGGCGTGGCCAAACCTTCAGCAAGCGGTACTTCCGTGTTCTGGCAGCGGGCAGCAATACAAAATTTTCTGCAACGCTCGTCAAATAATTTCTTTCAGCGAGGCTGGTCAAACTTTCAGCAGGCGCTCAAACTCTATTCAGCAGTTTCGGACGTACGCCGAGTAAAGGTGAGACTCAATGTGGCAGAGGTGCCATTGATGGTTTGATTACCCAAGTTTTGGGTACCCTCCTATCCGAAGGTACCCACGGGGCTGTGCGGTCCCTCACAGGGACCGCGCGGCTCCCAATAATTTTGCATAATCTCGCGGAAAAACGCGAAAATGCGGCCACTGCGCCGCAACTAATCTATGAAAAATCGCGATTGTTGTTCTAGCATTCATCTAAAATTTGGCCAACATTCTCCCAAATTTCTGCAAGCGGACCGCAAGAAATCAGCGAACTACTTTCCGTTGCTCGCTTGCCCATAAATCGTATAGCCGCCTGCACCCTGCGATTATCTAAGTGGGTGATGGTACCTTCATCCACGCAGCGGGAAGTTTCCATCACAAAACTTTGGAGGCGTTGGCTTCGTCCTCCACCCATATATCGTCCATTTTTCAATTTGCATAAAATCAATTACCACAACTAGTTAATTTACGACCTTAGAACAAGACTGACTGCAAAAACGTGGAGAAGGTCGTCTGCAACGAGAAGTTTTTCTACAATTTTGTTGTGGGCGACTTCAAGGCGAAAATCGCGATGCCACTGGAAAAGGAATACAGGTTCGTGAAGTTTGGATGTGGGCTTCAAAACGAAAGCGAAAGCGGCGTCTTTTTGGGCTTCTTTCCGCCGCTCAACTTTTCCATGGAACTTCCATCTTTATGAAGGAAGAACATCGGCGGTGGGCATGAGAATCGTCCAACGAATGACTCATGCGGAGCGACACATTCTCACCAACCGAAGGTGTAGCTTGCTCAATGTCTTAGTAGTTCCATTTTTCTGCGGGTGGCTCCGATCACCGCCTCCTTCGAGTGAAGATACGATTTAGTCAAAAGCTGGAAAAGAAGTTCTGTCACACCGCTGAAAGAATGGAGGAATTTGTTTATGACTTCAGAAGACCGGAAGACCCCATATCAAGTTGTGTGACAACGCATCGAGGAGGACCTGGCGTACGACTATGGCCGGCTTCTGAAAGGATTGGAAGCCGCGCGCGTCTCAATGGCTTCTCAAAAGAACTTGGATCGCATTCAGAGGTGCAATAGGTGGAGCCGGGCCACCCAAAAGTGAAGGTGATTCCAGCTACCACTGGCCCGCCAAAAGTGAAGGTGGTAGTGCCGGACACTCACCTCCCAAAAACGTCGAAAAAGGGAGAGTGAGGAGGGGAGAGTAAAACGGACGAGCTGAGCTATCCTTCTAGGTCGAACTGTGATTTAACGGCTCTTTTTAGGACCATAAATACGATGAGTACAGCGGCATAATCTTCTTATGTAAAGCTGAATGTGTGTCTGTCCGTCTGTCTGTCTGTCGGTCTGTATGTATGTATGTACGTATGTGCGGAATAGAAATTTTTATTTCTGAACCGATTTGGACCAAACTTTGCATACATATACTTCGGGGCAGGGAACGTGTCATAGGTTACTTTTCGTTATCGATCGATATCGATTTTTTGCAAAATTTGGTTTACAGGGCTGGGAGTTGGCACAGGGGGGTAACCGAGCATGCTGATTACAAACATATTATTGAAAGGCCCGGGCGGAGCCGGGTTTGCCAACTAGTTTGAAATAAACGTGCTAATCAAATGGTGTATTTGTCAGTAAAAATCGTTTAGACTTTACGTATTTTATTAGGTAAAATTTGCTATAACGTACTGCGAAGAAAGTAGGTCGATCCGGGCAATAACCACTTAGACCCAGAATTTCGAATAATGAAATGACGTAAAATCATGCGAAATTTCCACTGTTATAAATCTGGTGGTTGATGATGTCAGCAATTGCGACTTCATAGCTTTTGAAGGGTAAGTGCAGTTCTGACAGAGAGTGAAAAAATTAGGTCGATAAGAGCAGTGGCCGCCGAGGATGAGACTTTTAGAAAATTAAACGATTTTAGGTTACTTAGTGACAGCTGACGTTTAAACTCCTATAAACCTGGAGTATGAAGGTGCGCAATGTTGCGACTTCATAGGTTTTCTAGAGTAAGGATTGCTCTATCGGAATTTGTCTTAGCCGTACCGATCCACTGAGATAACGCCGAGATTCAGGCTTTTAAAAAACAGGTAAAAAACCGCTTTTTAAATTTCAACAGCTCATAACTTTTTCAGAATTGCATGAATCACGTTGCGACTTCATAGGTTGGATTCTCCTCTTCAAGGGCCTTCAGGAGATATATAATATGTAGGGGGTCCAATGATTTTTGCGGCGTTAACCGGGGTGGAGGCCTTTCATCACAAAGTCTCCGCTGGCAGCCTCTAGCCAATACATCAAAATGGGCGAGGTGGAGACTTTGGTATGAGAAGACTCCACCCGGGTTAACGCCGCAAAAATTAGCGGACCCCCCACATATCATTTATCATCTGAAAACTCTTGATGAGAAGAATCTAATCCATGAAGTCGCAACATAATTCATGCAACACTTAAGAAGTTATGAGCTGTTTAAGTTCAAAAAGCGGTTTTTCACCTGTTTTTTTGAAAGCCGGAATGT